TATGATGGGGGTTGCTCTTCTGGTTGCTGATTATTTGGCACAGCTGGATACTGAGGTGTATAAGCTGCAGTTGAAAACCCATATGGAGGGGCATCTTGTGGCCACTCAGAGCCACTTGCTAGGTTTGTTTGATGAGTTTTCTCCGGTGTTGAGTATTGATAAGCATCTGAGCCTGTGGGGAAAGGATTTGGGTAGAGAGGAGCCGGGAAGTCACTGTAGCTCTGGCCCCCAAAAGCACCAGCTGGATAAGGCCCCGCCTCCTCACAAGGAAAAGTCCAATTAGGAGGAACCATGAGCAGAGGAAACACCACCTCTGGATCAAAACGGAAACTAATGTCTAAATAGACCTGGGAAACAGAGACATTCAGTCAACTGTAATCAAAATGCCTTGTACAGAACTGTTATAGCTGAATTCACAGAAAATCTGTTTTAGTTACCTTGACGAGATGATCCACTGAGATAATATCACAGTTATCAATACTGTAGATGACAGAAGTAGGAATCTCAATATTACAGGTGGCTGTAGCTTCAGAGTTTGGTCCAATGGTGTCCCCAACACTTTTGAATAGGACGTTACTGCTGGTATTGGTGGACCCTTCAGCACGGTACACTGTTCTCTGGACCACACTGAACTTGGGCTTCATTGATTTGGAAGAGGAGTTGCAGATTTTGGCAAAAGCAGATATAGTGCCACCTAACATACACACACATACACACACGGATAATAATAGGCAAGTAAATAGACTGACTTTTTGAATTTATTGTACTGAAAAGAAAAATCCCAAAACAATAACTGTACATAAACATCAAACACTAACTCAGCACTTTCAATTATTTGTTGTTGTTTTTTTTTTTAGATTAACATGAAGACATGTTAGTCAACTGCTGTCATTTTACCTGGAGAACACACATCTCTGTTAACAGAAGCAGACAAATGGACATCTCCTTTCGAGAAAACCCCCACCTTTTTATTAACCAATCCAGACTGAGGAGTCTGTAAAACAGAAAAACAAACTTCTATTAGAGTTTTTTTAAACTAACATCTTCAAAAATTACATCAAAAATACATCTTATTGTAGCAGTCACTAACCACTGTTCGATTAATGTTTCGAATGGATTTGGAAAAAAAATCAATCTCTTTTGTCACTGTGGATGTCCATCGCCATTTTCTTGATATCTTCGCTTGAAGCATGTAGACAATACGTCCGTGAACCCCCTTAAAGGATGACGGCATACTTCTTTAAAACAAACAATGAAAAAAGAGTTAAGCATGGACTGTTTCATATTAGGAAAATAGATGGATGGAAACTTTTCAAATGTTGACAGCATAAAGAATCTCACCCCTGTGGGATTGTCAGACTGAACTTAAACTGATTGATCCCTTTGGGAAGTACATTGCCTGCAATAAAAAACAAACAAACAGGTGAGCACTTTCATTTGTCATTTTCCAAAATAAAAGAAATACACATGAAGAAAAAAAAACATAGGTGTGGAAAGTWTACAAGATTTCATTAATTTAAGACAACTGTTTTATTCCCTAAAATGAGTTTTATTTAGACTGAGTGAAATAAATCAAAAATCACACATTAAAATGACACGAGCAACAAATGTATTACTCATCTATCATACATTCAGTTACAGTATATAATCTTTCCAAAGTATGCAATCAGCAAACGCTTTGCTTTTGGCATTCAGTATTATGTAGCTATTATTTTTTATTTTAACTAAAAAAAATTCATGAGACGATTTAGCATTTTTGGTCAACAACACAGCAATGAACAATGAACATGAACACTGAGCCTCAATGAACACTAGGAGGCACCAGTGAGAATGAAACGTTGGTGTGGTAAAAAAATAGAATAGAATAGAATGGAATAGAATAGAATAGAATAGAATACCCACAGAGGGGGAATTTAGGTGTCACAACAGCATCAAATATAAAGTGTCATACAAATAGTTTCAAAAGTGCAAAACCCAGAGCTGACCTTCCTGATAAGCTTATCTAAGCGCTTCCTCTCCAACTTACTACAAAATTGACGATGGCTGATGCCTACGATGGCATTGTAGGGCCTCTTTGCAGATGGAAAAAAAGGAGGATCAAACCTCTGCCAAAACAATCAGAAATTTTGAAATTTCAGAAATTTTTAAGAAAAACAAGGAAATTCTCTGAACTCCAAAAGTCTTAAATTTGTGAGAAAAAAAATACATTTCCATGATTAAAGGCAGGAGTTTTCTATGTTTAAAGTAAATAATTTCTGACATTATGAGTCATAAATTTATGAGGAAAAAATAGAAGTTTTCATGAATGGCTAAAACGTGTTGTCACCATGAACATTTTTAATCTGCTCTAAAAAAAAAAAAAACTAAAACATGCAGAGACTTCAAACCAGGGGCAGTTCTAGGGGCGGGGCCACAAGTGAATTGGCTCCTGCTGAAATCTGATTGGCTCCCTGAGGTGCCCTTATGAAAATAGCTTCATATGCCCCTGTCCTGTCCCTCATCTGCCCATTGCTCCAGAGCAATGATGGTGGCTAAAGTTCCATGTCCAAACACTACAGGTGCTAATGAGTCAAGCAGTAAAGTCCAGCATAAATTGATCTTACAGAAGTATTTTTTCTCTTCTTTAAAAGACTTGAACAGTCCTGCAGAAAATATCTTTAAAGTGACAAACAGTGGGCTTCATTTTCTCACATCCTTTGTATTTGAGAAAATTTTATCCATGGGCTGCCCAAACCTGGTCCTCAAGGACCCCTATCCAGCATGTTTACTTGTTTCCCTGCTATTCAGCAGGTCTTCAGAAGACTGTTAATCACTCAAAACCAGGTGTGTCCAACATCTGGGAAACCTCTAAACATGCAGTGAAGGAGTCCTTGAGGACTAAGGTTGAGAATCGCTGCTTTAACACATGTTATTTTATTTATTATTTACAAATAAATGGCAAAGAATCAATGGCTTTGAGAAGCAATACTAAAAAACACAAAACTAAGTCAATATTATATTTTGAAAATGTCTCATCAAGCTCAGAGAAGCTCTTGAGGTGTTGGTC